AGGAAGACCCCCAAAAATAAATTAAAAAATGAAAAGGAAGACCCAATATTACAAAGATAGCCATTGTTACAAAAATCAACTAAAAAGCATTCAATATAATTTCAATTATTGTATGTATAGATATTTGCTCCAACAATTGAATGTGTAGTGGAGGTATGAAGATAGACCAAGAGATAAATGTAAAGGAACAGCCTGTTTGCAAGTAAATAATTTCAAATAGAAAATAATAACCAAAAATTATGTCGGGCTACATGGCTAAACATTTTCCCCCGTATCCAACACCCTGGAAACAATAAATTTCACATTTAAAGTCCTAAGTGCTAAAACCAAAATAAAATACAGGATACATTTTCTTTCCCCCTCTCCCCCACACCCCCAGGTTAATTGAGTTGGGAAAGATCTTGAAAAAAATACAAATATTCTATAAATTTGAATTCTTAAATATTAAAATCTGTTCGGTGGAAAACCAAAAGCCCTACTCCATCAGGGTTTGGGGGCCTAAAATCCTTATGGAAACAGACTGAGGTACCTGTCTGCATTCAAACTGACAAACTTTATATCAGTAGTAGAGAGCAAAACGCTTGCGTCACTCAGGTACCTGTTACTTTGGTGACGAACAGGTTACATGAAGCTTCCAGCCCAAGGTAGACTAGGGAGAAAAGCCTGGTGATCTACTGTATTTCCAAAGATCTGTCAATAAAAACTATGTATCACTGTGGGTACCAGGTAACTCTAAGAGAGCTAAGATTAGCGTGTGTCAAGTATTTTAATCAACTCTTTACCTGCAGTTTCACATTTTATCTTCACAGCATGAGGTATTGGTAAACTTCCACAGAGTGCTTGTTAAATTCTCTATGATATTCCAAATGCTTTGAATAAACTGATTTATTAAACTAAAAAAATATAAGTTAAATGACAAATTACAAGAGAAAAATCTTGCAGCATACATTACCCAGCCCACTCCATGGAGGAGATTTTGATTCACAGCAATCCTATCAGATAAAGTAAAATAGCTCCATAATGTTTCTGAGACTGTAAATCTTTACAGGGCAGACAGTTTTATCTCTCTCCTGCAGAACTGAGTTTGAATCACAGACTGAAATTTAGCAGCCCAATGCCTAATCCGCTGCACCATCAAGGCTCCTTACACAATTAAGAAATTAATTAAATAATACATAAAAGTTGCTGAGTTATAATAATTACATGAAAAGAAACTAATAAAACATGGACAAAGAATATGAATAGATAATTCACAGAAGAAATGCAATTGTCTAATTAAACATACTTAAATTTACTCAACAATATGTGTGAAGAGAAATTAAAATAAAATTTAATTTTTATAAAACCTGATATGATTAAAAGTTAACTTAAGTTTTAGACTATGTTCTGATGAAACTATGGGCAAACCAGTATTCTAATATACTGCTACAAGGAAGAAGTTCACTAACCTGCATGATCCAAGGGCAGAAATCAATGTAGTAATTCTTAAGGGCATCTTGACAGTCTATTAAAATTAGCTAGGTGCATCCTCTAGGACCCAGAACTTTCTCTTATAAGTATCTACCCCATTAAAAACTTCCATTTTCAATTTTTTGTTTTTTAAGTTGTGAGAAAGCAGGTATCAGAGTGTCTGTCATTAAACAGATACTAAATAAATGTTTGTTATGTGAAACTGGTCCCCATCAGTTAGACTCTGGCTCAGGTTGACCCTGTTTGTGTGAGAGCAGAGCTGTGCTCCAAAGAGTTTTTCGTTGCTATTTGGAATTAGATTACCAGGCCTTTCTCCCGCATGGCGCCCTGCATTTACTCCATCCACCAACCTTTCAGTTAGGCATGAACATATTAACCTTTTGCACAATGCAAGGACTCGCTGGTTATATAGATGATACTTATTTCATTTTGAAGAGTGCGTAGGTGGCACAGTAGTTACCTATTCAGCTGCTTGCCAACAGCCTGGGGCTGTTCAAACCCACCTTGAAACACAGGCCTATCAATTTGTTTCTAAAAGCTCACAGCCTTGAGACCCCTTTGATATAAGTTCTACTATGATATTTAGAGGGTCATCATGAGTTAGAAACAACTCAATACCAACTAACTATTTCACTTTTAGGAAATAAAAGGAGGGTAAAAGACAGGTGTGCAAAGTCAATTTTTCTCCTCCATTACTGAGATCACAAGATCTCAATTTTTATGATTGAGAGAATACAGCCTGCTGATTCAAATTAAGCTGGCCTGAGTCCAGGTTAAATTTAGCATATTTTGGTAAAACACTTGGTGGATTTTCAATTTCATTTTCTCCAATAACTTCATTTTCCTCATGAATGAGGCTTGCTTGTCACTTGGATATCAAGAATTATCTGGCTCATGACCAACGGCATACAGCAGAGGCTTCAGTGAGATGCACAATCCACACAGATTTTTGGTCATTGGCACCTGTCCCAGGATTGTGTAGTAACAAGCAATGCTTCAATTTGTAGTACATAGCATGACTAAGAGTCAAAACTGACTGTCCATTATCTGACAAAAACAGCACGAGTAATGGTTCACATTGTTGTTCCTATATACCATTAAGTTGATTGCAACTCACAATGACTCTATGGAACAGAGTAGAAGTACACAGTAGGAGTTTCAAGGCTATAAATCTTTACAGAAGCAGCCGATGGCATCTTTTTTCCTGCATGGTCCAGGTAGGCTTGAACCTGGATGTTTTGGTTAGCAACCCAGTGCTTACTCACTGCACCTTCAAGGCTCCTTAGAAATATACATTCCTTTCAACAGAGATTTGCACTGTAAATAGGAACTTCTTTGTAAAGAAGCCAAACGATTTAATCTCTAATAAAATTAAGCATGTTAATTATAATTCTTGAAGATTATTAATCAGTCCAAAGCAATTTTTAAAAATACCTGTAAGTAGTTATTGTTTAATATAATTGACAATATAATTGTTATAATCAATAATTATAATATAATTAACAATAATATAATTGTTAATAATATTGATATTATTTCTTATTGAAACTTTGCAACTAGAGACAATCTAGTCATAATCTCGCTTTATGGTAGTCTGCTTCTGAAGACTGCTGTAAATATTTCTCTTTGCTGAGCATCTTGCTCTGGAATTTAAATATATGTTAAGCCCAACTTTTAGGTATTATGAATAATAAAACTTCAAAATGGTTAAGATGGTCCTTTGTCTTGCAAAAGTACCTTATACTTAAATCTTCAGGCAGAACACCAGTGAAACCTTCTGAAGCACAAACAAGAGTTGGTTGTATTTGAACTGCTCTGAAACTAACTCAGAACTTTTTTTTCTCTCTACTAGACCTTTCGCGTATATAATGGAGGCTAACACTTTTGATTAAAAATAGCTTTCTGTTTTCTGTGATGTGCACAGTAACAAATATAGATTTATTAGTTAACATTTCTCTGGTTCAGGTTGAGAAGGGCAAGTGGAAAACTTTATTGGGTTTTCCCCAGTATCTCATCTAAAAATCCCAAAACGCCACTTTACACATAACAATTTAAGTATCTATCCATGACTGGTAGAAGTCTGCAGATAAACTTCCAGATTTAACCAATCCATCAACTCTCTTTGTTTTAGGAAATAGTTGAGATAAAACAAGACATTCTTCTGTTTTGTAGGGGGAGGGCAGATAGAGAACAAAGGGATCCTGGTATTAAAGGTTGGACTGCTAGCCAAGGGGCTGGTGATTTGAACCCACCAGTTACTCTATGGCAGAAACAGGAGGTAATCTGCTTCCTGAAAGATGTACAGTCTCAGTAATCCTATGAAGAAATTCTACTCTGTCCAATAGGGCACTGTGAATCAGAATTGACTCAACAAAAGTGATTTTTAAAAACATTTTAGGTGGGACAGCTGCTATAAATGTGAGGATTCCTATAAATTTCTTTTAAAGACATTCTATTAATTTACTTCAAGAGGAGAGAATTTTTTAATTGATGAATTAAAAAGACATGACTAATTATTATCAGGTTCATCGGTATGCTGCCAAGAAATGCTTTAAAATAAAAGAGTTGGGAACTCTACTTCTGGTGATGAAAGATGAGCTTAAATCAGACCACTTATCTCTCAGAAATCCATTGTAAATTCTAGACAAATTATAAAATAGCAATTACCTGAGGTCTCTAGAGACTGCCTAAAAGTAGAAGCCAAAGGAGACAGAAACGAAATAACATGAGGTGAGTTTCCTGTCTCTACAGATTTCCATCCAAGGGCAGGTTCCAGTAAATGACCTACAGGAAAGCTACACAGTCAGGAGAAACCTGCCATCTTGTGATTGAGAAATCAGCGAGTAGATTTTGGGACTGCCACCACAACTTGAAGATGAGGGGAGAAATCTTGGAAAGTAGAGAGTCACTGGAGACACAAATTCTAATTTTTTAAAAAAAGAATCATCTAGCCAAAGCTTTGGCTGACCCCTGCAGCAAACATGCATGAAGTAGACACCAAGTCTACAAGCAGCATTTCTAAAAGTAACAGAACTCAACAGAGATTTCAGTTGTGGCCCAAATTAAAGGGGACAGAATTTGTTATTTGAGTTCAGTCAAATTAACTGACTGATAAATAAATATACAAGTCAATACCATGAGTTTGGGGAAACATATCAGAACATAGCTTTACAACTTATCATTCATAATGTTCAAGTTGCAAGTCAGTATGACTAGAAATAAATAATATATAAATATTACTGTATTTATAAATAAACAAGCATAAAAACATATTCCATATCCAAGAGAAAAGATAATTAAGGGAGAACAACTTTGACAAAAGGCAAGTCTTTAAATGGAAGACATACAGTTTTAGGAGTGGAGTAAAAGTATCAAAGATTTAAAATAATTTTTAATAATGCTCGAAAACACACACGAAAAAGGGAGAACAATGAATGAACATCTTATAAACCTCAGCAGAGAAAAATAACTATAAAATAGAACTTCATGGAAACTTTTAAGAAAACACTTTTTCTTCTTTTTTTTTTTCCCAGGGGAGAACCCGAACACAGTCCCCCACTACCACAAATTATACAGTTGAGTTTCCCGCATTTGGGGAAATTGCAGAGGTCAGCACACCCACAGTGCATTGGGTGAAACTCGTCCTGGGAAAACCACCTCTCTGATCATGGTGTCTCCCCTGCCAGGTAAGTATAAGAAAACACTTTTTCTTCTGAAATTAAAATTACAAAATGGACTAGCAACAGTTTGAAGATGACAGGATAAATAGGATTCAAATTAACAAACACAGTTATCTGAAGATCAGAGATTAAAAATTATTTTTTTAAGTGAGCACAGCCTCAGTGGAACAATATAAAATGTCTATGTGCGTTTGAAATCTCAGAAGGAAAGGAAAGTCAGAATTAAATGTTTTAAAAAATAAAGGATGACATTTTCCAAAAATTAGTGGGAAATATAAATCAAGTATTGAAATTTATTTCATGTTAAAGATCATATTTGGTGCCTTCTTGAGAGAACTAAAAAGTGGACTGTAATGTCAATCTATCCACTTTATCTTCTTTGAAATAAGATACAATTCCCACTGCCAGAAGCAAACAAAACACAGGCAAGAAATGAGTAGCCTTTTAAAATTATTGATTTGGTGCAAACTCATTTAAGACAGATGTCGGTAAATAATCAGAAAAATCTAAAACACCCCAAATAAATAAAAGTAACACTAGCAATGCCAACCATTACTAACTACTGCCTTTGAACCACAAAGTCCTCAGGATGCTTCCTAGCTAGCTTTCTGAAACTCTACATTACCATAAGATGATTTGTGACAGGGGATTTAAATTAACTAGGATAGTTTGGTTCATTAGTGAAATGTTAGCACTCATAAAAGACTCAGAGTTTGAAAAATAAAAGAGACTTTTACAGTTCATTGCAGTCAACAAAGTCCATAGCAACATTAGGGACCAGAGAAAACTTAGACCTCATATTTATTCTAATTCTACTACCAAATAGAATTCTAATTCTATTACCAAGTTATGTAATCTTGAAGTTAGGTTATCTTTCCTCCTCTGGGCAATAAGGCTTTAAAAAGAACTGTGCAAATAATTTTGGCACCTACTAAGGCAACCTGGTCTATGGATTTTTTATTAGCTTTTTTATTGAGAATTAGGAAGACTGACAAAGTAGATTATTAGTTTGACATTCAAACTTTCCCCCCCAACTCACACATTGCAATCCTCTCAAAGCACCAATGTAGCATCACTTATTCTACTTTCTTTGTTTCCTGCTTCAATGACTCCTTCTTAACCCTCTGAATTTTGTTGTTAGATAAATGCTGCCCCGTTGGTCTTAAATTGTTGATCATTCTACCAAAGGGATGAGTTCAGTCCCCAACTCAGAGGGCAACTTGGGACATCATCTCAGGGGTCCCACTGGTCTCTATCAGGCCAGCAGACTTGGTCTCTTTCATGATTTTGAGTTTTGTTCCACATTATTTCTTACTCTTTCCAAACCTTTAATGTGATATCTTTAAGAGAAGTTGTATTGGTAGCCAGACACTATCTAGTTCTGTTATTTGATGTGGTCCATTAGTCCATTGGACTAATTGTTTCTATATGCCTTCTGATTTTCTTCACTCTTTTTTCCCCCTCTGGACTGGTCTGTGGACTCTGACTTCACATTCCTCACCCTTAAAAACAGCTTCTATTTCACACTGCATCCATAGAATTCAAATCAGCCTATACTATGTTCTCTTTGGATGTCAGAAAATGCTTTCCTGAAGAAATTATTATCCAACCTGAGGCAACATTTTAATTATGATATGAATCTGATACTTTTCCTAGGAATTATATTCACATCCCTTTATTATCTGAAATGGTGGTTGCGTGGGCATCAGCAGACATTATAGGAAAGTTACATCAAGGTCCGCACAGAGTACACTGGAAAAAGTCTAGTGTGCCTCCTCACTCACTGTGTAACCTAATGGGAATCCTGCACCTTACTCAGCTGAACTATGTGTAGATGAGATCCTATCTCTGTCATCTCTGAGACTGATAATGAATTCAAAATTGCATAACATATGGAAAGGGGCTCTGTGGATTATGAGATGCTATTTAAATGCATTGTATACTATTTGTTTATGGAAGATGTCTGAAAAGTAGCAGCACAAATAGAATAGTGATTATAATTGATAATAAATGTGTTTGCAGTGTGCTTCGTTCTCATGGATATTCTCAGCATCTTTGGTTTATGTGCTAATAAATCATAGATATGACAACATACAAGAAAAGATCAGAGATGAAAGATATTTGGGGCAACCTAGTCAAGTTCTGAATATCTATGGCTCAAGGCAAAGAAAGCTGATAGTTTTACCTGCTGCTTAACTTATAAATTGACTGCTGTTTAGCTCAGTATGTTTATTTACAAATGCCTATTTTAAGAGATGAGACTTTCCAAAAGACTATTACAATTCTGAAATTATAAGTATCTAAACTTATATCTACAAAACTAACATGATTTTTAATTTGCTTAAGATTGCCGTTTACTGTTCACTGTCGCTCTGGAAAACTATGCTTTGGAGTGGAAGAGCCAAGTTTCTAAATTGCTTGAAAAATACAGTGGCGGGTCTGTTTGAATATATTTTCACATCTAATTTTATTTGCAAGGAAAAACAAATTAAAGTTTGAATGCCAAGGATAGGCCTGTGGAATATACCCATCATTACAGAGAAATAAGAGATCTCTAGTTGATATGACCTCCTTGCTTAGCCATCTCCAAATAAAATTAAAATCTGCCACTTTGCTATCCAAACACAATTTATTCACCAACATAAAGCAAGACACAAGTTTCTCTTTCACTAGACAAGAAGGAATTGCTAAAAGTTCCCTTGCCTCATGTTTAGGAAATAGCTGAGAAAAAGGGAAGAATTTCATGTGACCATGAAACAGATTTTCATTCTGTACCACATTGTTTCTTCATTTGCATTATTTTTATAAAAATGGGATAAATATCTTATATCTTTGTTGTTTTTACTTGCTGTCGTCTATGATTCATGGTAGCTCCACATACAACAACAGAAAAAACATTCTTTGGTCCTGAACTGTCTTCATGATCATCAATATACCTGAGCCCATCACTGAAGACACTATGTATTCTGAGTGTTTTCTGGTCTAGAGGGCTCATTTTTCAACACTATAACAGATAATGTTCTTCTGTTGTGATCCATTGACTCTCACTGGTTACTTTTAAGAAGTAGATCACAAGGTCTTTCTTCCTAATCCATCTTAGTTTGGAAATTCTACTCACACCTGTTCACCATGTATGACCCTGGTGATATTTGAGATACCAGTGGCATAGCTTCCAGCATCATAAAAACACACAAGCTACCACAATATGACAAACTAACAGACAGATGGTGCTTGTGTTAGTTCGGGTAGACTAGAGAAATAAATTCATAGACACTCATATGTGGATAGGAAAGAGGTTTATATACAAGAGCAATTGAATATTGAGAAAACATCCCAGATCAAGTCCATAAGTCTGATATTAGCCCATATGTCCGATACCAATCTATAAAGTATTTTTCAGATTCATGCAATGATGCCAAATGCATGAAGATCACAGGCCAATGGGTGGGAAGTCTTGTGGATCCAGTGGTGTTGTAAGCATCTCAGCACTGGCAGGGGTCTCCATGTGGCTCCTCCACCTCCCAGGGGTCTGGCTACAACAGGGTAGCTTCATGCGGCTTCTCATGAGAAATTTCTCCCTGGGAGTGTGTGTCCTGCCTCCAGTGGGCTATTTATCTCCTTAGCTCCTCCAAATGAGGTCACCAAGCTATGGCCTGATTGACAGGCTAGACTCCATTCCCTTCACTCTTAATCCTCCCAAATTGACCACAGATTATGTAATTATCACAGTGGTCATATGCCTTTACTTAATAACTCACTATCATCAAGTTGAATCTGACTCATAGTGATCCCATAGGACAGGACAGACATGCACCTGTGAGTTTCCAAGACTGTAAATCTTTATGTGAGTAGAAACCCTCATCTTTCTCCTGCAGAGAGACTCATGGTTTCACACTACTGACTTTATGTTTAGCAACCCAGTATGGAACCCACTATACCACCAAGGCCCTTTACATGGCCCTAAATACCTCTATCTACCTAGAAATTGAAGCAAAGGATACACAGCCATTTATTTGTTCTCCCTACGTTGGACAACAAGATAAAACATATAACTTATTTTGGAGCCATAGACATTTTCCTCAGAAAATGCACAAATATAGAATTTTTACAGTCTATTAATTGATCTATTGGGTGCACATTGATCTCAAGTAAGAACTCCTATTCTAAATAGTCAGGAAGACAATACCTTCTATAGTTCCTTTATTTTCTCCTTTGACCTGATACTACAATGCGCTTTGGATCCGTCTTGAATTAGTGTTTGACCTGGATCCATGACCTCCAAATATTGTTCAAGGAAGTGATCCTATTTAGCTTCTACAGCATGTTGAGTTGAAACAGCCACACTAGAAAGTATATGAGTGGTAATTTTCTCTCTCCTCCTCCTCCTCCTCCTCTATTTTACCTTTAGGTGGAAACAGCTCTTTTGTAGGATGATAAAAGGGTCAGAAACCTTGCTAACAAATTAATATCTGAAACTCAATATTAGCTGACCATTATTAGTGGTCAATATTAGCAAAAAAAATTATCTGTGATTTTTGTTTCTCTCTATCCTGCAGATACTCCACTTGACAGATCTGAAGTACCTAAAAATCCCCTATGTAAGAAACTGAAACCTTGGCAGATGGTAAGATGATGAGGAAGACTACTGAATGAGATGGAGAAAGGAGAAAAAAGGAGAGAAGGAAACTGAAAATGGCTTTTTTGTGGACTGACTAGGAAGTTAAAAGGAATGATAGGGAAATCAAGTTTTGCCCCATTATCTGAACCATGTGTGTATTTAATTAGCATAGAGTAAATCTGTTTTATTTCAGATAATGAACTAGAGTAGCACACCATTCTAGACACAACATTATTTATGAAAATACACAACTCTCTTTCCTTGAAGATTAGCTTTTATTCAGAGTATGTATGTTTCCTTCATTGGGAAAGTTTTGATGTTATAAAAAACTCGGTCACCCTAAACAGGGTGAAAACAATTTGCAGATCAAAAACTGATCCCTGGACCATGTTTTGA